AAACAACCAGAACCAGAATGAAGTGACAACCAATTCAATCAAAAGCTATAGGTCATTCAAAGTTAGACCTTACATAGACTGTTATTAAATTATATTAAAGAAAGGTTATTAGTAGTTCCCCAAAGCCATATAAAAATCAAGGGCTTCCCTTTTCAAGAAGTTGAATAGAGGCCTTGGAGATGGAAAACCATTAGCAATTGAAAAAAAGTTGCTTTTGTGTTTTGTCCCTTTCTGTTTTAGCTGGGGATGTAAATGAATCGAATCGAGTTGGGTATTTCACGAGTAAGGTTCAGACTCATCTATTTGCAAAGAAGTTTAAAATCACAAGTTACAAATATCTTGTATTTTGTTCAAATTTGAGTAGTTAAATTTTTTGTTGAAACTTGGACTCAACTTCTGTAACTCTTTCCGAAACTTAAACTTGACCCGTCAAACTATTACATACGAGCAATAGTATTGGGACATAATTTATTGACCTAATTCACTATAGTTTTTGGATTGACTATGGACCCCATCAAACATTAGAACTTGGTGTCGATCCAATGATTTCACTGAAACCACATCATCAGATCAACAAATTATGTCAGATTTTTATGTGCATATAACATTATTCATTACATATTATATACACATTAACAAGCTCAGACGAGTTGAGCAAATCACCTTTCATGATCAACTCATCTATGAAGCAAGCTTTCAAATTAAACCTAAGCTCGGATCTCTATATTCTAAAAGAAATGAATCTACAAAGTCGGAGAAGTCTCTAAACCCACATTCCTAATATTCTAAATTTTTAAGTGTCATTGGTGTGTTTGTTAACCCAAATTCAGTACTTGAAAATAATGTATTCGACACCTTTTAATTAAGATCGTTTGATAACTAAAATTTGAATATCTTAATATATTAAGTAATTCTTAAAAATAGGCTACAATAATATTAACAGTTGAAAATACTCAGCAAAAATATTTTTAATAATATTTACAAATATTTCACAATCNATTAAGTAATTCTTAAAAATAGGCTACAATAATATTAACAGTTGAAAATACTCAGTAAAAATATTTTTAATAATATTTACAAATATTTCACAATCCTATTAAAACTCTAATTAGTCTTCTCTCAAAAACTCTCAATCTATTTATCCTCTTCGTCGTCATCGTCTTCTTCAACGACTCAGATAAGTCTTATTCCATTTTTTTTTTTTTTT